CAAGGAGTTTCCTTTGTGTTACACAGTAGTTCCTCTCTGGTCTACTCAAAACCCTACTGAAGTAGGCCACCACATGTTCGTTTTCGCCCACTTTCTCAGACAATACTCCTCCAATTCCAACATTACTTGCATCACAATCCAGTATGTATGGCAGTGAGGGATCTGGAAGCTTTAAAAGTGGAGCGGAGGCTAATTTTTCCTTCAACGTCTTGAAAGAATGCTGGCAAGAAATTAACCATTCAAACTTCTGGCCTTTTTTAGTCAAATCATGTAGTGGAGCAGCTATAGCTGCAAAGTCCTTCACAAACTTCCGGTAATAAGTACAGAGAAACTTCTTAACTCTCCCACCTTGTCTGGTGTTGGCCAGTCACGCACTGCTTTCACCTTATCAGGATCAGTTTGCACATCATTCTCACTTACAATGTGGCCTAGGTAAAGCACCTCTGTCTGGAACAAATGACACTTCTTGGGATGGAGTTTGAGGTTTGCTGCTTTCAAACGCTTGAATACTTCCTCCAGCCGAAACATTTCCTCGTCAAAAGTTGTTGCAAAAACAATGACATCGTCCAGGTACACTAGGGCTATCCTCCATTGTAGGCCTTCCAATACTCATTCCATCAGCCTCTCAAATGTTGCTGGAGCATTACTGAGCCTAAATGGCATCACTCGGTATTGCCAGCGACCTTGGCCATAACTAAATGCTGTCTTGGGTCTATCTGCTTCAGCCATTTTTACTTGATGGAAACCTGACTTTAAGTCCAGAGTTGAAAACCACCTGGCTCAACTTAGGGCATCAAAAGTATCATCAATTATTGGCAGTGGGTATGAGTCTTTTTCGGTTATGCTGTTAAGAGCCCTGAAGTCCACACAGCAACGTTGGGTCCCATCCTTCTTCTGTAGTAATACAACAGGAGCTGACCAGAGACTATCTGATTTTTCAACTATCCTTTCCTTAATTAGACCATCCATGACCTTCTCTATCTCTTGTCGCTTTGCTGGAGCTATTCTGCTTGGAGGGATCTTTATTGGACGGTGATTGCCTGTGTTTATTCTGTGCTCTACCAGGTTTGTGCAACCGAGGTCATGATCTCCTTTCGAAAAGACGTCAGCATAATTTGCCAAAAGTTCTTTTACCTGAAGAGCCTGTGATGATGACAAATGGACAATGCTCTTCTTATAGAAGTCATTCTAGAAGTCTATGTCCTTTTTTTACAGTTGTATTCCTTGCTTTAACATTGATTGGCTTTACCTCCTGGCACACGCCCAACAACGACCCTTCCTTAAGTGTCTACTCACATTT